TAATATAATTTATAAAATTATAAATATTTATTTATTACATACTTATAAATTAAATTTTAACATTTTAAATAAATTATTAATTAACTTAATAAATTTATTTATCTTAAATCTAAGATATAAAATTCAAAAAATGTATTTATCCTTATTTTATTTTCTAATTATCAACTATTAATAAAATACTAATATAAAATCTTATTTAATTATATCATAATATTTTCATGTCAAATTTAAAACCAGATATTAGTTATACAAAAATATCAAGATCATATAGTAAATTATCAATAAGATTCTAGTTAAATAATGTAAAATAATTAATTTTTTTAACTATATTGTTAGTAAATAATTTATTCCAAAGTTAATCAATTTTTTTCTATATTAATTATTAGTAAAATTTAATAATTTTTAATTTAACAGTTGGATCGATGAAATTCAACATATACCATAAGTTATTAAGCGGAATAACTTTACCAATAGTTATTTTTCTATATCCATTAAAAATTATCCGTCAGTAATATAACTTTTCCTACAAATTTTTATTTCTGTCGGAAATATAAGTTTTTTGACAGATTTGTATCCGTCGAAAATTACTCGTTGGTAATTTGCATTTTTCTTGTAGTGAATGATTATTGTGTGAGTAGTTAATTAATAGAAGTATGTGATTAGAATGTGAAATTGATATTAGATTTGAGTAATTGATGATATAATGGAATAATATTAAGCTTTAATCATGACTTTTATCGATTGGGTTGGAGTTTTGGGATTTTAGGTTCACATTATGCAACTTTCGCACAGTTCATAAGTCTCCTATGAATTGATATCATGTTGGGTATCAAATGGGCCACGTCGAGCGCCATTTGATACTGCCCTTGTGAGTTTTGGTGTCAAGTGTGACCTCAATCATGTTAGGTGTAGTATGATAGAAAAGTTGTAGTCCTCTTCGCGCTAGGCACAATAATCATTGTGCCAGGCACTATAATGTTAGAATAAGGTTTTGTGATCTTCATAAGTATTATAGCCTTGAATGTTAGCTTTCAAATGTCATTGGAATTGCCTAAAAAAGGTCTAAAACTCAAGTTATTATCAAATTAATGAGTTAAGGTTAGATAGTCAAATTTAAGTTGAAATGTTGCACTTTTGCATTTTTTTAAAACTAATAGATGACATAATTAACTCTTGATATCAATATAGAAGTTGAGGATAATTATCTTAAATTTATAATAAAATTGAGATCAACTTGATAATTGATATATAAACCATCCCTTCATAAGGAATTTTACTCTGATGTTTGGACAACTCAGAGGAAGTGGTTCCTTAGTAATTTTAAGGGTGACCGTAGGTCAGATATCATAGATTTATTCTATACCTTCCTCAATAATGTCCAAACCCATGTTTGTTTCTTCGATTGGTTAAATGTTTACCTTCGAAGGAATAATATCCATCCACCTTGGGTTATTACCATCACAGAAGACCATTCTGTCAATACACTTACTGTTTGGCACCGTAAGGACGGTAAATTGGTCAAATCTGACCTTCCGCCTAACAGTAGTTATTTTATCCCAAACTTAGAGGACAAATACCTAGCTTCGCCCTTTAAGTATAAATCTGATGA